GAATCGGAAAGCCGAGTATGAGGTGTGGTAATAAAAGCTGTACTAAGAATTAGAGTATACTGAAATGTCTCGTATCTTTAAGAACAAAATCTTACGATTGTCATTGTACTATTAAAGCAACTAAAATTTAAGAACTATAACACTCTTACCTAAGTGTTTCACGTAGGTATAGTCTTTTACCTTCGTTTTACGAAAACAGCAAGTTGAAAAAAACAGATCTCGAGTTTAGTAGAACTTAACGTATTCTAATCACGTTCACCGTTATCCATACGGAAGGTCTATCTACTTAAGTGCCTTGTTTGAAACATTCAAAACCACGCTTGTTCAAAGTTCCATCATAAGGTCATCGGATCGATGTAGAACTTTGTTGATAATATCAAGACGTATATTGATTTCAGTTTCTCTTGATTATAGTGCAGGTATATGCAGTACAAAGGGTCCAATAGATACATCCTGCCTGGATTATACAAGTAGTAGCATATACTCAAGAAGGAAATTCTCAAGTTAAAAATCTTAAATATCGCTTTTGATTGAGGAGTAATGTAAAGTACGAGCTAATGCTCATGCTGAAATAGTGGAACACAAATAAATGCAAATTGTCTTTCTTTTTTATTCATTCATTCATTGACCAAGGGTTTACTAAAGTTAAAACCAGACCCAGAGAGCCATGTAACAAATGCCTGATACTGAACATAATAGTTCTTGAGAGGTGGTGCTCGGGACTTTAAGAAAATAAGTAGAGTTCGGTGGTCTAAATAAAAGCTGCTCCTGGAACACTCAGATTTTAATAGCTTCACCAAAAAAGTTCGGTGGGGTAACGTTTCACTTTCGTAGTACTTGCACCTTACCTGGGCTTTACGTATAAAATCTACATAGATTAACCAGGTATGATTTTTTTTATTTGGTCGGTGTCTTTAGAATAAACCTATTTCTAAGATCTAGAACGAAGACGTAACTATAGAATAGAGTATCAGTTTTCGACACTTTTTGAGGCCAGATGTCGAAAACACGAACACGAACTTCCAAATGTCATATCATATTGATTCACTCAAATGTAAGTATATTGTTTAGATTGTTTAGAACATTGGGTACTCACTTCGCCTCTGTTCTCGGACCGGAGTGTAAACATAACGGCATCGAGTTACAGAACTACGAGTACTTCGAGATCTATGCCATTGTGTTTACATTCCCTGTTGTCAGATTCTATCGTCCTTGATTGTAATGGAGTTATTATTGATATGAGAGCTAACATACGTCATAATTTTTCATGTTCATTAGGTTTGCTACAGTTTTAAACTGTTAAAGGTGTGGATTGTCGTATTGATAATGTGATGTTTCAAATCAAATTTATTCTCTGTAGTCATGTCTATAATCAAAAATGGTACAGCGTCAAACGTATCAAGAAAAGTCTTTTACTTTCAAGAAAAGTATTACTAGTCTGAAGATTGGGTTTGTTTTATCATTTTCATGATTTTATTCAACTAAGCGTCATAGTACAATTTTATAACAGCTTTGTTTCCTGGATTTGATTTGAATTTGGATTGAAGGGGTCTTCTGTTTAATATTAGGTGCGAAACCTAGCTTTCAGAAACAGTTGTATCTATTACCTCTGAGGGATCATAAAACACTAGACCTGGTTTTACGATCCAGAGTGTAATAAATTCTTAGATTTAGCCAACTGTAAATTATGATGCATTCAGTATTATTGGATATGTCCATACAAATCAGAATTTTTACTTATTTCGATAACTTTCATATAGATATTGTACGAACAACAAATTAATAAATAATTATACTAACGTTAAAATTATATTAACGTTAACCTAAACAACGTTATTTTATTTTTTTCTATTTCAATCCTTTAAACAAACCCTATATCAACCCGTCTGGCCAACGTGGTATAGTAATCCTTCTATCTAAAGAAAGGCCTACGTCTAGCAGTGGATTAAAGGATGGTGATGATGGGTGTTATGTATGCCCACTCCTTTGAAAATATAGGCCTGAGTGTTTGTGTGTATTCCATTCTTCTTCTTCTTCTTCTTCTTGAATAGACAACTCCTGCATTAAGAATATATCCTCTGTCGCGGGGGACTTTACAAACCTACATGAAATAAAACTTACGTAAAAACACCCAGACTCAGAACAACAATTTGTGGATCACACAAAGTGTCGTCCCGTGTGGGGATCGAACTCACAACACTCAGCGTAGGAGGAAGTGGAACGGCGACCGCTTAAACCACTATGCCATCCGTGCATTCTAGTTTTGAAACAGATACTATGTCCTTTGCTGCATTCGAACATACTTTAAAAGATTAATATACATTTGGTTCCCTTTTTTCCCAAAAATATAAAAGTCACTTAACATTAGATACAAAAAAAATCTTGAAAACTTGTATCTTGTAAAATTTAAAATCACTTAGTAGACTTGTTCACGTAATTTAGCACTTACATTAAAGGGTTTTATCCTCAATTTGTCTTACAGAAAAGCATTAAAATTTGAATAGAATATTGAGACATAATGGGGCCATTATAATATATTCAAGTAATCTGACACTTGAAATTTAATTTTATGTTTGCTTAATTGTGTTTAAATGTTTTTGTTTTTCTGTTTGATTGTTTGTTCAAATTTAAGTTTTAAATTACCCAGAGGACGAAAACTCACAAAATTGTCTCGAATTTACGGTGTGTAATTTGATTTGATTTAGTGGTGAATAAACTATACTAACTAGTTTGTAATAAATAAATAACGGTACATATTAAATCAAAATTATATCGTTAATACCTACCTATTAATCTAGTTATACCTTTATATAATTTCTAAATTATTTCAGATCACGTGATCTAATAACGTATTGAGATTAACGATATTACTCGTGCTTAGGTAAATAATCCGCCGCGCCGGTCCCACCGTGCAATGTTTAGCGATTAGCGATAGCAATTACGTTAAACAAGGTTTAGATAATATTGCTTCTAGAAAAAAATAGCTAAAAGTAAATAAATAAAATAATTTAATTATATTTATAATAAAACATCCAGAGCATGCAAAATAAAACCATGCTCAGTGAAAGAGGTAAAGACAACGGTTACAAAATGGCTTACTTCCCTATCCTATTCAACCGAAAATCTTTTAGTACATTTATCATGAAATGACAAAATGATGATGAAATGATATATACTACAACCTATAAATATGAAATAATATGTACTACCTGTAAAACTATATATAAATGTGTGAGTGTGTGTGTATATGTGAGTAGACAGATCTATATGGGTACCATTATACATTATGTTATGTAACTCACACCAATACTATGTATAATTATAATAACATACCTATATTAATTACCAAAAAAAGAAATATGTTCCTACCATTTTTTTTAAAACTTGTTTTTGCATTATGTAAAAATAGACATATTTGTTAAGTTTTTCCTGGAAAACTATGCTTTTTATTGTTTGGTTAAAAATACTTTTTAGTCGTCGCCCGAGCAAAGTGTGCTATAAAGTGTAAGCGTATCAGGTGCCCACAGGACAGGCTTGCTTAGTGTCGAGGCAACCGGCAAAACTGTTACTTGGAAATAAATTATTTTTATTTATTATTATTATTTATAGTTAAAAAAATACAATTTGTGAATCCTATGTATTAAAAACCACCTTTATAGCAAAGATAGTGTGTATTGTGATTTAATAAATTAGAACTATGAGCAAGCCGTTACTGGCACATCAATAGAATAAATAAGTACGCAAAAAATACAGGAGAAGAAGTAATAAAATATTCAAAGGGAATAATATAGTCACACAAATTCGTCGCTCAATCGCTCTTAGATGAACAACGGCTCCAAATAGCTCGCAGGTTGGCAAATAGTCTGCTGACCTATATCCCTATATTGACATGAACGGCTTGGTAAACAACCTGTATCTGTTTTTCTTCGGTCTTCACAAAACTTAGTTATTATATCTTGTCATAATATGTAACCTTGTGCTTCTCTTACTCGCTTAAGGAAAATTCATAATTTTTGTCTGTTTATCATACTTCGTAAATATTATTACAGTTTCCTTTGACAACTGTTGCTTTTTAACGCGGTTTCATTACGCGTTTACTCGTATTATTATGTTTGTATGCAACCAAATCTTCGCACGTGATTTTAACTTACTTCTAAACGTCAGATTTAATTGAAACGTTGCATTATCACCAAGGACGGATGATAATACAAGAATTACATGATTTAATTCCTTTTTCTAGAATAATATCGTCAGGATTAACGATTTCGTTCCAAAGAGGTAGCCTGAGAAACGGCTACCAAGGAAGGCAGCAAGGGAGTAAATTACCCTTTCCTAGCACGGGGAAACAGAGACAAATAAATAATAGTTCCCAGCGAAACTAACTACAAAAAGGAAAAACAAAAAATAATACTTTAAAGATATACTGAAGTGCAAAGTAATGAAATAATTAAACAAGATAATAAACCATATTTTTAAAAAGGATGGCGTATTAGTTATTAGCAGTCATAAATATTCTATTAGTACGATCAGTACAAAAGAATAGTACGAATCACTCCACGCTTTTTTTAAATAGCACTTGTTTTTCTTTTAAAACTTCTTTATAAGGTTCATTTCCATTATTGTGCCTTACATATAATAAGAATATAAGTAAAGTTAGAAAAACAAAACGAATATTTTTTTGCTCATTTTGTTTCAAACCGCAGCACCCTAAAACTATAGGCTTGTCTTGTAGGTACTGTGTATTTTTCGTAGTAATATTTCAATATAAGTATTTTCTTCGCTCTTGCAAGTAGTGGTGCTGAAACAAATAGCGCTTTCTTTTATAAGTCTTTGATTAAGTGCGCGTTTAAAACAACTCCAGTTTTGAAAGAGCTGTTTTAGATGTAGTATGTAGTATAAAAAAAAAAAAAAAAACTTTTAATCCATCACAACACGGTTTTTTAAGAGGACGTTCAACCGTTTCAAACTTGGTACTACTAAATGATTATGTGACGCAGGGCATGGATGATGGTGCTCAGGTCGATGTTATTTATACTGACTATAGCAAAGCGTTCGATAAAATAGATCACAGCATACTGAAAATAAAATTGTTTAACAGTGCCATAAGGGGGGACTTACTTCGGTGGTTTTCCTCTTATCTTGAAAATCGGACTCAGGCTGTAGTTGTCAGTAATTATATTTCTGGCTGGGTTTCTATCCCCAGCGGCGTGCTCCAGGGTTCCTTAATGGGTCCATTGCTTTTTACGATTTACGTGAATGACATCGACTCCTGCTTCCAAAGTTCTAATCTGCTCTGTTTTGCTGATGATATGAAGATCTATTCTGCAATATCATCGGCAAACGATGTGCAGGCGCTTCAATCAGACTTATCACGACTTGATCACTACTGTCAATTAAACAAATTAGAACTAAACCCCGTTAAATGCTCAGTCGTCACGTTTGGTAGAAAACGGTCACCAATACTAGCACCATACGAACTTAAGGGACAAGTATTGCCAAGACGTGATGGGGTACGTGACCTTGGTGTTTACCATGACGCGAAGCTACTGTTCGATGTGCATATTGAGCAAATTATTGCTAAAGCTTCCTAATGTTTCGTAAAAGCTAAAACGCTTAAAATTCTCTACTGTACTTTTGTTAGGAGCCACCTGGAGTATGCCTCGCAAGATAGGAACCCTTGCTATCATAGGTACATTGATCGCATTGAGAACATACAGAAACGTTTTCTGAGGTTCTTGTGTTTTCGTTTAAATATTCCTTATAGCTCAAACAATTACATTGGTCTGTGTAAGAAATTTCATATCCAGCCACTGGTAAATCGACGCCGATTAGCTGATTGTTCTTTTCTTTTGAAAATTATTTCTAATGAGATTGACTGTCCTAGCCTTTTGCAAAAGTTAAATTTTAATGTCCCCCGTAAGTCGATTAGATTTAATCCACCCATTTCTATTCCATTTTCCACCCTGAACTATGAAGAACTTGAACTTATGGCTAAACCACATAATTGCAAATAGAAATTTCCTCCAAAACTCTCCACCCTCTCAGTAACACATACTCACACACACACACACACACACACACACACACACACACACACACACACACACACACACACACACACACACATATATATATATATATATACACACACACAGACTTACTAACAATTTATGATCTGATTTGGTTTAGATTTATTTTGTTAATTTATTTTATACGGTTATTAATGGAACTCTGACGGCCCCAGGCCGGAGGTGTCGTTAATGTCTGCGACACAGTTCTTTTAACTAATGCAGACACTTTCGCATAAAATGTTACTGTTTCCTTTGTTCTAGTTTCCAATAAAGCTTTATTATTATTATTATTATTTTCTTCCACAATCTATAGAAAAAATTTATATATTGTGCGGGCTAGCGGAGATTTCAATAAATTGTGCAAGGAATGCTCTCTTGATCCCTTTAATACCAAAAGCAATGTTGTGCGCGGTATGCTAAACCTTAATTTTTTTAGATCGTAACATTTTTAGATCGATTATTATTTATTGTATAGTTGTATAAGTGTAGTGTCGTATTAGTTAGTGCTCAAGAACCTCTGTTATTTACAATGATTCTATTCGTGAAAACCTGAATTGGCTTGATGTAGCATATTAATCTGACCATTTCATTTTTGTAGCTGGTGGTTTTCCTAACTGAAATAAAAAAAAAAATGATAAAAATGTATTATTACTAGGCACTTTAACTGTACAGAGAGCTCACCATTACAGAGAGAATTCAAGGCATTTCAATTTCTTTTAAGTTCAAATCTTTGTATCTACCTACTTTTACGGTTATTAACTATAGTTAGTGTTGTTTCGGCATAATTTATAATTTTATTCTTTTATGGTTCAGTAGTTTTTGCTATGATATTTAAGTTTTATATTTGAGTTTAGAATCACGCTTATAAATACATACGTTACTAATTTCGAAACATGCGCATTCGTATGTAAATACTTATAACTAAAGTACTTAGAAACTAAAATTATCGATGTGTATAACGTACTGTACCAGGGATTTCCTTTCTAGGGTACACCTGGTTCCCCGACTACTAGTACCCGAGACGGCGTGCGGTTTTTGGTCAGTCCGACCCGACATAACCACTGGTGGGTGGTATCTAGTAGTATTTAGAAAAAAAAAGCTATTAACAAAGTTTGAATATGTTTAGCATTTCGTAAAAGTCTACCCAAGCAATAGTCATTTATGAGTTATACATCATCATCATCATCATCAACAGCCTTTACTAGTCCACTGCTGGACATAGACCTCTCCTTAGAAAGGAGGTTTTGGCCTACTATACTACGCTGGCCAGACGGGTTGGTATAGGGTGTGTGTCAAGTTTTCCTTCTCTCTGCAGTGCTGTTGTCCTGCGTAGTTTGCTCCCTTAGTCGTCTCTTACGACACCCACGGGATGAATAGGGGTGAGTTATACCCACGGAGCAAATACAAAGAGGAGGTGTTGTAATTAGATTTCTTTATCAAACGCTTGACAATTTGCAGGGTGAAGGGATATTAAGTATACTTAATTATGGATGGAAATCATAACACTCTTTTTCTCCGTAGTAGGATGACAATCGGACAAAAAGATAAGCCGTCCACATAAATACAAATAAAATAAGAATAAATGAAGGAACAAATTTTAATCGTTATTCGTAATTTACTGCAATTATTTTTGCAAACTAGCAATACCCAGCGCCTATAAGTCCAGATCTATCTGTATACCACGTTTTCTCCAAAGGGTATAGCAGGATAAGGTAGGGTCAGCGGCCCCAGAAAGATATTTTGAAACTAACTCATTAGGCAACATCGGCGAGGTGTAAAACCACTATTAACTGAAATTCAGCCTGTTATGTCTCTGCGTTCTGGAGATAATTGATCAAAAAGACGCTAGAGCGGGTATTTTTCAAAATTATTTTTTCGAAAACTATTACAGCTGCACTAATGAAACAAAAACTGGTCGTTAGACAAAATATTAGTCTACATTATATATATTATTTATAGAATACTTCAGTTGTATTTACTAAAAAAAAAATTCTAGATTTTATTCCTAATTCACGCAGAGGTAAAATCACAGAAAAAATATATAATGTAGCTTACTATGTCTAGTATTAGTACCAAAAAGTGCATAAATAAAAAATGGGTGCAACACTTCCAAACAAAATTAAAACTCCTTATGACCGTCTTAGGTACTAATGAATTCATATTTGTCTTTTGATTAAACTTTTTCATTATTCTGGACACGATAATAACATGTTTATTACTTAAAAACAAATTTGATAGTAGTTAAAAATAATATAGTAGTAAAACATAAAAAGATGAAAATGGTTGGTTGAACTACGACATTTTTAAAAAAACAAGACGAAACTTGTCGCTCTCAAGTTAGTTGCGTGTATGCATTGTGTTGTGTTTTGTTTATATATTATTCTTTTATCCCGATCATTATAGTGGCTCGACTTCAATAACCGTGTGCGGAATATTGTTTCGGACTATTTTAATTTTTCTTATAGAAACCCTTTTTTATCGTGTCTTAGTGAGTAGCAGTAGTAGCTACACGAAATATGTCAGATAAATGTAAAAACTGTAGTAAATTTTTGCGCAAAGATAACAAGTATAGAAAAGTTATGAAAACTGAAAATGAAGCTAAAATATACAGTGATTGTTTTAAAACTAATAAAGTGAGTAAGTGACGTAATATGCAACCAATTCCATATAAGTTTCTACAAACAGGCAGACTCAACTTTAAAGCCTACCGCGAGTGATTAGTTTTTACATTTATCTGACACTACTACTACTTCAAATAATAATACTACTATTTCAAATAATATTAAATTTCAGAGTAAAGTATCAAAAACAAGTACTCATTAATACTATATTATTTGACTTGACTGCCTTGTTGGTGCAGTGGTAGCGTATACGACTGTTGAACTGAGGACTTGGGTTCGATTCGGGTCGGAATAAATCTTTGTATGATCTGCAAATATTTGTTTTGGAGTTTGGGTGTTTTCTATGTTTAATATGTATGTATTTACAAAAAAGTATATAAGTTTTCTATCAGTCAATCTAGCTTTCATAGTATAGGTTTTCTTAGTTTGAAACTAGATGGCGTATGTCAGATGTCCGAAATATTATTATTATTATTAATTTGTACATTGACTAAAACCATGTACTTATAATTATTTTAACAGATCTATGCAATTGGAATAGTCCTTATAAAGACTTGAGTACAACGATGAGTCAACATATATACAGGACCCCATACAGTTTACTATAGCTTTTGCCTGCGGGTTCAAGTGTATGTCGGTTACAGCGGCAAAAATATAATAATAACAATAAAGTTTTTATTTCGGAAAGACAAAGTATTCATAAAGTGTTAGTATTACATTTAATTTTTACTTATTACCTAGTGTTAGTACCAATCACCCTATGCACAGAGCGTTTTATAAGCGGAGAGTTGAAATTGTTCTCTATAATTTTCAGGATGCTGTTCCGACTGTCTTTCACCCTTCTCAGTAATGAAAACTACCGGTGTGAGCTTGCGCAAATATCACCGATGCGGTGTAGTAACGAGGCAGTCTCAACAACATCCTGAAAGTATTATTATACTGGACGCGCAGGACTTCCAGCGACTGTTTGATGTAGTTGATCCATAGATTGCTCGTGTAAAAACTCTGGCAGTACCCCTTAAAAAAAGTGTAATTTTTACTAGGTCTGTACATCGAGCAAATCTACGGACCAACGTATTGCACCGGACTGCCAGAGCCCTACGCTCCCTCTCAATGTCTACATCATCACTAAGGTCATCGGCAAGGAAATGACCTAAGTATTTAAATTGGTCATGAACGGAAAAAAGGTGTCCAACCTTTTTATTGTCGCTCTGTTCATAACTAATTCAGGGCCATTCTCATGATAGTTGCCACCGACCCTAATGATTAGGTATGCACACTTGCTTACATTATATTTTAATCCGTGCTCCGGTAATATATAATAATCACGGGTCAAGTCATTCTAAAATACTAGGATAGGATTTTCAAGTTCTTGTTTTTCCTACTCTACTTTTCAAAAACTTAATTTGTGATATATTTTTAAAACGCTTGTAAATATTAGTATTAGTATTACTCAACTGTGGATTTAACCAAGCGCATAATTATAACATGTCCTTTGTTATCTGCCTTTAAAAAGAGGAAATCCAATGCCGAGGTCACGATGAAGTGATTATGCCTAAATCGACGGAACTTAAACTCAAAGTCTCTGAAGTAGATCCCATTTACGTGGGTTCTTTGAATAGATTAAAATTCTAAATTAGTAATTACTTGACTTAGTCTACAGAGTAATATAATTGAAATATTTAACGACGACAAATGTCTCTGCGAGAACAGTTGTATTTTCGTTTACGTTCTCCTTTAGGTGTAAACAGATATCCTATATTGAAACTGAGAAAATTGTTGTATGAAGGTATTAAATAGTCTGTTGTCAAAAAAGTAGTCGACTCAAATATTTCGAATCAAAAAGAACAGTCGATTATTATGATTTATGAAGAAGCCAATGTTTTTCGAGACAGCTTT